TTTTTAAAAATAAGATGTGTCTTGAAAGGGGAATTTTGTATGCATTTATGTCTGCGTACCAGGAGAGGGCATCAGAACGCACGAATCTACAGTTACTGATGGCTTTGAGATGCCATGTGAGTGTGAGAAATTGGGTTTAATTGCTGGCCCATCTGTACAAACCAATAGCTTAGGCTCTGTAAAGTAATCCAAGGATGCATCCGTGTGTAGTGCCACATGTCATTAAAAACCAGCACTGGGGAGGATCTCTGAGTTTGAGGCCAGCCTGGTTTACAGTTTTACCACAGCTAAGCCTACACAGAAAAGCCCAAAGTAAACCTAGGATTTAAGTATTTAAAAATGTTAAGCTTCGAATGTCATAAGTACTAACCCTTTCTCCCTCCACAATTTAAACTGGTTTACTAGTGATTATTTAGAACTTGGTAGACAGAATCTGGAGGTACACATTATCTTTTGCAAATTATTTATAGCTCAGGCCTGTAATGTAATTCAGGAGGCAGAGGCAGAAGAATTGCTAGATCTTTTCTCAAAACAAACAATGAGCAAAATATTTAAAGCAGCAGAGTGTGGTGACACTGACATGTGCCTTTTATCCCTGTTCTGCTGAGGAAGAGACATGCAGATCTCTGAGAGTTCAAACCCAGCTGGGTCTACATAGTAAATTTCAGGCCAAACAGGGTTGTACATTGAGATCCTGTTTCAAAAGAAAAATTACAGTAATAACTACTTTAATGATAATTGAATTTATATAAAATATAACAGTACCTATTTTGATGAATGTTATTGAGTATTATAAACCATCGTTTATGTGATTTGTTAAAATCATATTAGTGTCTACTATTTGCAAAACACTGTTAGTTGCTCATCCTTGAAAGCTCATTACCCTACAATAAAGAAATATAAAGCCTTACCAATTTAACAAATATTACTATTTTTTTGGGTTTTTTTTTTGGTTTTTCAAGACAGGGTTTCTCTTATAGCCCGGGCTGTCCTGGAACTCACTCTGTAGACCAGACTGGCCTCGAATTCAGAAACCCGCCTGCCTCTGCCTCCCAAGTGCTAGGATTAAAGGCGTTCGCCACCACTGCCTGGCTTGAAATAACTTTTAAAAAACAAACAAACCCATTTAAGTCTTGTAAGGAATCAGGCAAATGCTCAAGGACCTAAGCTGTCAGTTCAGAGCCTTCCTCTAAGATACAAGGTAAAGCAATAATCCAGCTTCCAAGGAGGCAGGTCAGGAGGAAGAGGCACCACACTGTGATTGATGCAGCTGATTCACGAGGCACTCAAGTACTAGATACTGCACACAGCATAAATTATGTAGATGTTTAGCTAGATTCTTAAAATTTGTAAAACTTACTTATAGTTCATCTTCAAGGTGAGACCTCCTGTAAAGATGGCCTTTAGCCAAACGTGTTCTAAATTAGAATCCTTCATGAAAGAATTACAACTAGAATGCTTTATTGCTATTGATTTTTTTTATCATTTTTAATTACTCTTTCTTTCTTTCTTTTTTTTTTTTTTTTTTTTGGTTTTTCGAGACAGGGTTTCTCTGTGTACCCGTGGCTGTCCTGGAACTCACTCTGTAGACCAGGCTGGCCTCGAATTCAGAAATCCACCTGTCTCTGCCTCCCAAGTGCTGGGATCAAAGGTGTGCGTCACCACTGCCTGGCTTATTATTGTTTCTTGAGACAGGGTTTCTCTGTGTAACAGCCCTGACTGTCCTGGAACTGGGTTTGTAGTCAAGGATGGGTCTGCCTCTGCCTCCAGAGTACTGGAATTAAAGGCATGTGCCACTACTGGCTGGTCTCATTTGTTTTTGCTTTTGTTTATTTTTTAAGACAAAATTGTGAAGTTCAAGAGATTTTCCTGCCTCAGCCTCCCAAATCTGAGATTGCAGGCCCATGACACAACACTAAGATAGTATTGGAATGCTTTAATCAGAATTAGGTAAGTGTTGTCTCCAAGTAAATTCAAATCTTTTACTTAACCATTTGTTTAAGAATAAAGTCTAATCACTATTCACAATGTTTTCTTAGCAGGAAAGACTACAAAATTTCTCCCCCTCTGCATCCAGTTATCCAGTAAATCTCCAGATCTGAGACCCTTTCACACACTTTCATGTCCTTGCTACTACTGTGGTCCAAATTGTTCTTCATTTTCTTTCTTTCTTTCTTTTTTTTTGTTCTTCATTTCTAATTGTCTACAAAGTTACAAGCTTTCCAGTTACTTCTGATTTTATCCTTCTATTTCTGTATCATGGAGAAATGTGATGATCTAAAAAAAAAGTTAAACCAAACCATGTCAGTTAGCTGCTTAAGAAAGGTCTGATAGCTCCATAGTAGAAAACTTATAAGGTGAATGAAATAATGGAATTAGAAAGTCTATGGTTAGCAACCATGAGCACAAGAACATATTCAAATAGCAACCATCAGACACCAAAATTAATGAGTAAAAAGATAAAGAATAGCAAGATATTTACCTACTCCTGACTTATCTTCTCATCAGATATTTACTAGTTACTATTTTAAAGGAGAACCCAGAAATATTAGAGAAATGATTAAAATGAACATCACCAGTAACAGAACAGATTGTTGATATCATCTGCCTTCTGTATCACATTCACTCTGACATGAATGAATGCAGACTAACAGTGGTAGTGGTGCTCCTGCTGGAAGTGAAGCACTTGACATGAAAAGAAGTCAGAAAAACCTAAATTAATAAATATCCAGCTTGTTTGTTTGCTTTTTTGAGACAGGGTTTCTCTGTGTAGCTCTGGCTGTCCTGGAACTTGTTCTGTAGACTAGGCTGTCCCAGAACTCAAGAGATAGACCTGCCTCTGCCTCTGAGTGTTGAAATTAAACTTATGTGCCAGCACAGCCCAGCTATATTTTTTAAGCTTTTTAAAATTACTTTTAATATCGTGTGTGTGTGTGTGTATGCCTAACCCTCATGGAACAGAAGGGACAGATGGCTGTGAGCTGCCTGATCTTGGTGTTGTGTATCAAATTCAGGTCCTCCAGAGGGGCACTACACGCTTTTAATGGCCGAGGCATCTGTCCAATCCCACCATTGACATCTCCTAAGAATAAAAAGATTGCAAATGCTGAGGTTGATGAGATGGCTCAAGAGTTAAGAGCAAAGAAACTCACAACCACTTGTAACTCCAGCTCCAGGAGATCCAAAATCATCTTCTGGTCTCTGCAGGGACCTGCTCTCATGTGCACACCCCTCCCATCATACATGTAAAAAAAAA